CTCTAATCATTGGCTTTACTCGATAGAACTCACGGCGAGCTCCAGCTATCCTAAGGGAAACTTCGGAGGGAACCGGCTACTAGACAATTCGATTAGTCTTTCGCCCCTATACCCAAGTCGGACGAACGATTTACACATCGGTATCGCTGCGGGCCTCCAATAGAGTTTCCTGCGGCTTCGCCCCGCTCCGGCATAGTTCACCATCTTTCGGGTCCCGACGGGCATGCTCTCACTCGAACCCTTCTCGGAAGATCAAGGTCGGTCGGCGATACAACCCTCAATGGGATCCCGCCAATCGGCTTCCTTGCGCCTTACGGGTTTACTCGCCCGTTCACTCGTACACATGTCGGACTCCTTGGTCCGTGTTTCAAGATGGGATAAATGGGGAGCCCACGGGCCGATGCTCGGAGCACGCTAGTGCCAAGGAACGTCGAGAAGGCGCATGCTGCGGTCTATAATTGTGATGACAACGTCTCCGCAAGCGTTTCAAAACCTCGAGCTTGGGTCGCCACCACAATCCGCATCGGTCCACGCCCCGAGCCGATCGATGGACCGACCGGCACCGTTGCACATCCGATCGAGGCGCATCGTCGACCCCCATCCACTTCCTTCCCGACAATTTCAAGCACTCTTTGACTCTCTTTTCAAAGTCCTTCACATATTTCCCTCACGGTACTTGTTTGCTATCGATCTCTCGCCCGTATTTAGCCTTGGACGGAATTTATCGCTTGATTGGGGCTGCATTCGCAAACAACCCGACTCGCGAGACAATGCCTCATGGTGCAACGGGGTCCAGCCACGATGGGCCTCTCACCCTGTCTGGAATCCCCTTCCAAGGGATTGGGCACAGTCCATCACTGAGGACGCTTCTTCGGTCTATAATTCAAACGTCATAGACGCTCGATTCTCAAGTCGGGCACCTCTCGCTTCACTCATCGTTACTAAGGGAATCCTTGTAAGTTACTTTTCCTCCGCTTATTGATATGCTTAAACTCGGTGGGTAGTCCCGCCCGACTTAGGGTCGCGGCGAGAGCATCCTAGCAAAGACGATGATGCTCGAGGGTCTTGGATATCCCAAAGCGCAACGGGGCATACGCACGATCGCTTTCAAGGGTTCTCTCAACCATCGCTCGTCATGGCGGTCGTCGTCGAGGACTAAATTTTGGGCCAACCATGAGCGAAAACACACGTAAGAGACCGGTATCCACCCCTCGCCCTCGTTAGTCGAGAGGGGTTTGGGGGTGACGATGCGTGACACCCGAGCGGACGTGCCCTCGGCCATGAGGCCTCGGGCGCAACTTGCGTTCAAAAACTTGATGGTTCACGGGATTACGCAATTCACACCAAGTATCGCATTTTGGTACATTCTTCATCAATGCAAGAGCCGAGATATCAATTGTTGAGAGTCGTTTAGCTTATCACGAATTGGAGACGCACCCCTAGAGCACCTTTCACCGACGGGGGCACGCTCTTCGTACTCTAGTTCCTTGGTGCTTCTCATGCTGGGGTTTATTTTCGAGTTATGTCGGGTGCGGATCCACCCATCCGTGGCCCCGAGGGACGCAGGGGCAAGAGCCCCCTACGGCCATAAGTTTGTAGGTCGTTCAGCGGAGCAAGTTTGGACAATGATCGTTCCACGAGTTCACCTACGAAAACCTTGTTACGACTTCTCCTTCCTCTAAATGATAACGTTCAACAAACTTCTCATGACGTCGCCGTGATCCGAACACTTCACCGAACCATTCAATCGGTAGGAGCGATGGGCGGTGTGTACAAAGGGCAGAGACGTAGTCAACGCAAGCCGATGACTCACGCTTACTAGGAATTCCTCGTTGAAGACCAACAATTGCAATGATCTATCCCCATCATGATGAAATTTCAAAGATTACTCGAGCCTATCGGCTAAGGTTATAGACTCGTTGAATACATTAGTGTAGCACGTGTGCGGCTTAAAACATCTAAGGGCATCACGGACTCGTTATTGCCTCAAACTTCCTTGGCTTGGAAGGCCATAGTCCCTCTAAGAAGGCGGCCACGGAGGGTCACCTCCGCATAGCTAGTTAGCGAGGCTAAGGTCTCATTCGTTAACGAAATTAACCGGAAAAATCGCTCCACCAACTAAGAACGACCATGCACCACCACCCATAAAATCAAGAAAGAGCTCTCAGCTTATTGTTATAAGCTTGTATTCCGATCCGGGTAGCTATTGTCCCGCTCCGGTTTACTACTCGTCGCTGTCCGGCCAAAGCTTTTGATTTGGCTTCGTGGGTGTTTAGCATCTTCTAGTCTGTCGGGGTTGTGGTCGCTCATCCCGCCCTGTGGTCGTTTTTAGGCTTGTCGATCCGGGGGTACGGTCGGCTAAGGGATTGCGCATTTGTTCCGGCCACCACGTCCTGGTTTGGTTGCCCTGTCGCCGCTTCTCGCCCATCGCTGCGGATTGATCGAGTTGATGGGTCCCGCTTCGCTATGGTTTAGCTTCTTCGATTTGGTTATAGCTCGCTTACTTGGTTGCATGGGCTTCGGCCTCCGGTCCGACCGGGGTGGTATACTCCTGTTCGAGCCTAATTACCGAAGGCCCTAGCCTCCCCTCCCGACCCATGTAGTGCTCCCATCCGCTCCTCGTCTCGTGCCGGACGGCCACTTCGTGAGCTTCTTTGTCTTGGTCCGCTCTTGGCCTCTCCGCTTGCCTTGCTCCTGCCGACCCCTCACATCTACCGAGCTTGCATTTAGCTCTGCAAATTCACTGACTGGTCATCCGTCATTAATGGCTTTCCTTTAGTACTTAATCTGGATAATTTTTCTATACCGGTGTTTCTATGTAAACGACCCTAGTTATTCGGAGCGGGGTCCCTATATGGTTTTTCTTGGAATCTCTCGCAATTGTTTTGTTTCCTTGAACAACCACCTAGGGTTCTCTCTTTTTGTTTCTTTAGGAGCCTGTTCCCATTTTTGTACAACCTCGTATATGTTACTCTTGTTGGTTATTTTTCCAACTTGGTTTCCTTTGATTTATAAACTTACCTTTAAATCAAAAAAAGAAAGAGCTCTCAATAGTTAAGGAGAGAGAAGGAGGAGAGGGACGCTCTCCTCCTTTCATGGAGTTCTTTCCCTCCAAATCTAACTCACCGATGTTTGGAAGGCTCTAATCTTCTCCTACCCTCCATTCTCTTAGTTCGCTCTCTCCCCCACGTATATTTCTCTCTCGCCCCTACTTTTCTTTCTCTACCCGTCACTTTACTCCGTCCACTCATAGCTAAGAAAAAATAATCTCTCGCCCTCACATTCTCGGGTAGTAAAAGGGCGATATTCGATCTCCCTATTATTACCCTTGAAGCTCCTGTTGCACTCGTCCTCTTTCAACGGGCATTGGTCCCCCCACTCCACTTCGACAAAAACCCTAGAGTCCCAATGTGTCAATTCCACTAGACCTCACTTACCCAAACACTCGACCCCGCTTCTATCATGACTCCGTGATTGTCGAGGACTCGCTCGGACGAAGATCACTTTAGTGAGGAGGAAGTGGATTTTTCTAATTCGAAGGAGATCACGTGTCTCGGTCCCAATTCTTCAATGCTTCTCCACCGGCTCGATCTTCGGGGTCGCCATTGACGCTTGCCAAACAACTACTTGTTGCTCAATTACCTTCCCATTCCCCATACGCTCCCGACCCTAATTCTCTCCCAACTCGTCAACCCCAACCTTCCTTCTCTCCCCGAGGAGGTGGCAGCAATGTAGAGGACTCTGGAATGTGTTGGCACTAAGGCGGACATTCTTGAATCCATTCCCCCTCCAGACTAGCAAGTGGCGAGACTTGTTTGTAAGTAATTGTAACTCGGCTTTATGTCCTAAACTCGTCACATTACTCGTTATCACGGAATCGAAACAATGTCTACTCGCTTAATGATAATGCCAACTGTGAATTATGGAAAAATTGTCTTGTGGGATATGTTGCTTGGTAAGAATCTGGGTTTTCGGACACTAAATGGACTAATTAAAGATACTTGGCGAGTGTGTGGCTTCCTTAACGAGTTCATGATTTCGGATGGCTTATTTATAAATTTCAATCCCAAGCGAGATAAGGAATCGGTGCTTAATGGTGGACCGTATTTAATTTATGGTCGTGCTTTGATCTTAAGACCCATGTCTAAATACTTTGATTTTTCCACCAATGAGATGGCCATTGTTTCGGTTTGGGTCAAGTTTCCTAATTTGTCATTAAAATCCCGGTCCCCTGTGTCTTTATCGAAGATTGCTAGTCCGATTGGTAAGCCAATCCAATGCGATCGATTGACGACTTCCATGGATCGCCTATCCTATGCTAGAGTTCTAGTGGAACCGAATATAATGGAGATTCTACCTCGGATAGTCAACATTTTATTACCAAATGGCACCAACCTCTTACAACCAAGTGGTATACGAGACTCTCCCAATTCATTATAAGCAATGCCGTATACTTGGGCGGTCCACGGCTACGTGCAAAGCTCGGCCATCTCAAGAAGTGGGTCGAGCAGCGACTAAAGGAAGTGATGAAATAAGCGGAATGCCTAGGTCAAGTGTCTTCCAGCGGTCGGGTGCTTCTACCACTGCCGGTGTTGTTCGTCGCTCCGTTGTTAGCCGACCCTATGCTCATTGAAGCGATCGATGCATCAAAGCAAGTGGGAGATAGTCTATGGGAAAAAACACTCCCACAAGGTTCGTGATAAAGGGAAAAATGTGATGCAAGTAGTCGAAACAGTGTCGGAATCTCTTAATGCCTCTGTCTCCCTTGATATTAGGCACGGGGTGGACACTATCATTAATTGTGATCAATATGGACATCTTAGCCACAATGATGAGTATGCCAACCCTCATGGTCAAGCGGATGGGAAAGGCATAAATTAGATTGCAGGTCGAATGGCTCTCTAGGTCGACCCGAGGTAGGTCGAGTAGAACCCTTTCGAGCGAGAGGAATCGGAGAAAGGTCAAGGCCTCCCAATGTTGAGGCCGCAACTCGTCGGAGAAGCTAAATGTCTTAGTACCCCAACAACTCTTGGGACTACAAGTAGGTCTCCCTTGATCGGACAAGAGACTCGGATTGCTACGCACTTGAGACAAGGTCGGCTACTAGAAGAGGGGTCGGGACGGACGAGAATGGGAGTCGAAGGGGCTTAGCCTCTTCAGCTCATACATGATCATTTTCAGTTGGAATGTGAGAGGGCTTAATAATCCTCTAAAGTAGCATGAGGCGAGTCTGCCTCATGCAGAAGAAGAGGGTCGATGTATGTGCCTTTGTGGAAACAAAGCTTAGTTCCGCAAAGCTTGTCCATATGCATAAACTTCGACTCAAGAAATGGAATTTTCTATCTAATGTTTTGGTTGCGGGATAGCCCGTATAGTTCTTTTTGGAACCCCTGCACTATCAAAGTTGATCCGTTGAATGTATCTATCCAAGGCCTAAATGTTCGACTCAATGATCTTGTGCGGTAGACTTCTTTCTATGCCACGTTGATTTATGATTTACATACCATCATAGCTAGGCAAGGGATGTGGGAGGAGCTTCGTCAATGGCGATCGAATGGTCCATGGATCCTCCCGGGGGACTTCAATTCTATCCTTTCCCAAGCCGATAAACATGGGGCGGCTCGTCGTTGCCACTTATGAAACTACCGATTTCGGGACTTGCTACTCAAACCTTGGGTTAAATGACCTTATCTACACGGGGAATCATTTCACGTGGAATGGGGCGTAAGTTTGGACAAAAATTGATCGAGTCTTAGCTAACCCTCTCTGGTCCTCCTCAAAAATGCTCGTGCATGTTCATTTTGATCCTCCGGTGCTTTTTCGGACCATGATTCCGTTTTGGTTGATTTGGGCTCCCATAGGCAACCCGGTACTAGGAGTTTCAAATTCTTCAACATGTGGTCTCGCTCATGTTGATTTCCCTAAAATTGTTGCTCGATTGTTAGGAAGAAAGGATATGAGGTTCTCCCATGTTTGTCCTCCGTCGGAAGTTAAAGTCTTTAAAGCGACCCCTCGAGCGGTTAAATACTCTCCATTTCGACCACATCTCCCAAAGAGTGGCTAGGGACGAATCTAAATTGGTAGATATCCGACTTGCGCTTCAAAATGATAGGGATAATTTAGAGCTCATGGTGATCGAAAAGAGGCTTCGATTATCTCTCGGTTCATTTGAAATCCTCCGAAAAGATGTTCTTTAGCCGGAAATTGAAATGTAAGTTCCTCAAAGATTGCAACAAGGGCACTAGTTTTTTTCATGGTCCGATGAATCGAAGCACAAAGGCAACTACATTGCTCGCCCTTCAACGGACGGATGGGCATCTTACCACCTCAATTCAAGAAGTGGCCGAAGAGTTTGTCTCTTACTATCAAACCCTTTTAGGTACGGCACTAGACACGACCCCCTTAGACCCTAATATTGTTCGTCGTTGGACCTCGGTTGTCTATCAACCACCATGACTTTCTCCTTGCCCTAGTCTCGGAGGATATTATTAAGAAGACTCTATTCGAGTATAGATAATGATAAAGCCCCAAGTCCGGATGGTTATTCTTCCTTTTTTCAAGCGAGGCTTGGGATATAGTTGGGAGTGATTTCTATGCCGCTCGTTAAGGATTTTTTTGTCTCCGGAAGGCTCTTGAAACAAGTCGACCACTCGTGTGCTTGCTTTAGTCCCTAAAAAGGCCAATGCTTTTTTGCCTAGTGACTTCGGACCGATTGGCTGCTCGTAATGTTATTTACAAGGTGATATCCAAGATTCTTTCCTCAAGGTTTTCCCAAGCCCTTTTGGAGCTTGTTAGTCCCATGTAAAACACCTTCTTAGACGATAGAAAAATGTTTGACAATATTTTCTTAGTTCAGGAGTTGCTCCGTATGTATGGTCGAAAGAGAGCTTCTCTAAGATGCTTGCTGAAAATTGACTTCCGTAAGGCCTTCGACTTTGTGCAATGGGGTTTTTCGAAACGACTTCTCTTACGGTTGGGTTTCCCGGATAGATTTGTTGCTCGGATTAGTGCTTGTGTTGAGTCGACTTCCTATTCCATTTCGATTAATGGGAGCATGTTTGGGTTCTTCTCAAATGCAGCTGGAGTCGAGCAAGGTGATCCACTCTCTCCCTATCTTTTTATGGTTTGTATGGAATATTTCTACCGCTTGCTTCGGGTAGCCACCGAGTCTTCCGGATTCACCTATCACCCCAAATGTGGGATCCATGCCATCACCCACCTTGCTTTTGCTGATGATGTGTTGCTCCTTTACCCCGGAGATATAGTCTCCATCCGGATTTTATACACCTAGTTGTCTCTCTTCGGTCGAACATCGGGTTTGTCCATCAATGTGGCTAAGTCCTCGATCTTCTTTGGAGGGATGGGAGGATCCTAGAAAATGCTATCCTTCATGAAACTAGTTTCTGCAAGGCCTCCTTCCCATTTAAATACTTGGGGGTCCCTTTAAGTCCACATCGCTTGCTTGCTAGTCGGTTTGCTTCATTGCTTAACGACCTTGAAACCGCCATTCGTAGCTAGATGGGTAAGCATCTATCCTATGCGGGTAGGCTGGAGCCGCTACAATCGATCCTTTATGGTATGATACAATTCTAGATATCTATATTTCCTATGCATCGCGAGTTATCGCTTGCATTATCGGCATATGTCGTAACTTTTTATGGATGGGGGATGCCCGAAGGTGCTCTTCGGCTTTAGTAGCTTGGAAAAGCCTTTGCCTCCTTAAAGACTAAGG